GAAACAGTTAATGCTGGTTCTGATAGAAAGGTGTCAGGCCAAATAGTGCATCACAGTTTGTTGGTATGGGGCTGCAGAACATTCTGACCACCAGGTTGTCACAATGTTATGGTGTATACGGTGTACACTCCATTCCTCCCTTTTGACTTTTGCCTGGGGACGTGAATTAAAGGGAGCTGTCATTCCATTCCTTTTATTAACTTTATGGATTTTTGTATCCCTGATAAACAGTGATGTGCAGAATTCTTAAAAACCAACGTGTCAGTGCTTTGAATTCACTATGGTCTATTGGCAGCAAACATTTTTACGTTGTAGCCAACTAACACAATTACTAATGATGTCATCTTTCTGGCGAAAGCATTGAAATGGATGATGTCAGTGAAGCTGAATCTAGAGAAAAGTCCTCTGCTCCTACATCTCCCCTGATCCTGGATGAGTCCAAGACAGTCAAGATCCCAGAGTTCCCTCTGGCGCTGCTTCAGACACTGCCCAAGTGTGAAGTGCATCCAGATCTACACAAAATAATACAGGTAACGTCTGAAGTCTTAATCTCCTGCTCTTTATTTCATATTTTTAAAGTAGACTTAAATATTCCTCTTAATAGACTCTCTTCTGAGTAATTAGTAAGTACATGAGATAACAAGCTAACAAGGTGATGTCATTCGACAGGATAAATTCATGGAGATCGTGTCTCAGTACTTCAAAACTGTGCCCTCCAATCCACACTACTTCTTCTACTGCCCATTGCCATCCAAGAAAGAGGTACACTGAGTCGTGTGTTTGCATTTCTCATTGTAATCTTGTGTTTTGGCCAGACTGACTTTGCTTTGCTTTCATTTCTCATTATTGTTCACGATAAAACAAGAAAACAACATACTGAGGAAATGTTTCTGGCATAAACAAACCCACAGCAGAGAATTTTTCATCTTTGTGCTGTGGTTTGTCTTCTCAGGAGGACTCAGAGGACGGTGAGATGGGGAGGAGACCCAGTGAGGATCCGGTGTCAGAGGCTGAGCCAGCTACTGAGGACGGTGAGGATTATTCAAAAATGAAAATGAATCATTAATATTTTAATTAATTTTAATACAATGCATTCACACTGTTTTGCGGAACAATTCTGACTGCGTGTCAACATTTCAACTAAGTGCTAAACGCCAAACCTAAAAACCTTATTTCAGAGCTAGACTTTCATGTTTTTGTAAAGGTGTATAGACCTTGTGTGAAAGGAGCAGCATGGAACAGAACTTAACTTGCTTACTAACTTACTAATACACATCTGTCTCTATGTGATGACCCATAGCTGAGACACTAAACTCATCCAGTGATATAAGGATACATTTTGTGTGTAGAAGCTGTGTTGGGCTGCTGCATAATGACAGAAAGCGACACAGATCTGGTGGTGGAGTACGCAGAGCAGCCGGGCACCAGCTCCTACGGAGAGGGTGAAGACCAGTCCCTGTCAGACTCCAACACTGTCAACCAGGACCAGGACTCCTTCAGCATCCTGGAGGGAGACTCCCTGCTGGAAGCTGAGGAGCCACAGCTGGACATGCCACCACTGTTTGTTCACGTCACTTGTTCTGTCAATATGAAAAGCTGCCATGGCTCCATGCCCATACAAACACTGCCTACTTGCCTTGGTGCGTACAGCCTCAATCGCCTCAAAAAAGGCTTTTTCCCAAAGTTTAAATTTGACCACTGAGACTTGGGTGCTTACTTCGGTGTTGTGATTACAGGTGAGATTATTTCCTGCCTGGAGAATGCTGAGGCCTTACAGACTGTGGATTTGAATGAGCTCTCAGTCACTTTAGACATTTTTGTCCTGACACTACCTCTGGAGATTGAAGTCATGGCTGATTTCCATCATAACAGGTGAGTCAAAGAGCGAGCAAAAAGTTCAGCAGGTTTGCAAGAAAAGAGGATTATTCATAGCATGTTTGATTAAACATATATTTAGTTTTTTAAAGGTCCAGTGTGTAACATTAAAGAGGCTCTATTGTTTTTGTTTTTTATTAGTGTACAATCACCTGAAAATAAGAGTTGTTTTTATCTAGAGTCTGCCATGTTGAACCACCAAGTAGCCCAGAAACATGGGCTAAAAACTGGCTCTAGATAAGACGTGTAACAGTCACTGTAGTTTTTCCTACGTGCTTGAAAGGCTGAGCTGAATTCAAATGGTTGCAATCAGCTGCCACTAAATCCTACAAATATATAGTCCTATAAATAAATATAAATATAAATGGACCTGTACTTGTATAGCGCCTTTCTAGTCTTCCGACCACTCAAAGCGCTTTTACACTACG